CTCTTCCGATCTGTCGTGCGAGTGTCTCAAAAAGTCAGGTGTCACCGTCGACCCACAAGCGGTATATCTTACTGAGAGGACGCTAAAAATGTCCAATAAGTTGCTCTGTCCCTACATTATCGTTCTACTCAGCTATATATATGAATCGCTGCATTTTAGTGAGGGAAGCAAATTTCTAAATATACAACTCATAAATATTGAATATTGAAACTTCCATAAATATTGAAACTTCCATAAAATAAACTTAAAAAGGTTCTAGTTCACCGTCGAAACATCGGTTCCCCGTTCGTATCGAAAGTAGGCTTTAATGATCTCAGGAAGCATGGGGAACCCTGTGGTTGGAAAGCGACCGGGAGACTTGCTACCAACCCCTGGCTGAAGATCTGCAATTCGCGGAGCCCCAAGCTACAACTCAATGACTGAGAAGCCCAAGTAGGTGACCATGGTGCTATTCGCAAAAATACCAACACTTTATTTCAGCAGTAAACAAAAACCTCTGAATTTTATATATGACATATAGTACTCAGATCCAAATGAGGTCCTGAGACAGCACAATAAGTAATATTTGAAAAGAAATTGTAATTGTGAAATTGAGCACCTGTCTCTGATTGGATCTGTCATGCGGCCACCACGGCCCTTCATTGTGCGGCGTAGCTTCTGCGATTCGACGGCCCGCGCGCGTTTTCGCATGACTAAAATAGTGTGGTTGATAAGAAAGTGTACGAAAATATCGAGTTGGCCCAAGAACGAGACAAAATACAGTAATCAACACCATTATTCGCTAAAAAAACAACAACACCATCTTATGCAGCCATCTTATGCAACGTGAACGATTCATTGTCAAAACGCCGTAAAAATTGTAGCCGAATGCGTCAATTATTCGCTGAAATGTACAATCAATTCATGTGTGAGTGTGACTGTGACTGTTCACATGGCGCTGTGGGCAAAACAAAGGCGAGAAAAGGCAAAACAATGCAAACACCTATAATCAGCCTGAGATGAGGCTAATCGTATGGGGAGACGGCCAGGAGTCACCGCCGCGCTTGAAACTAGGTCACCGCGCGCGGCGACCTGTCCGCGTGGCGCGGCGGTGAGTCCTGACCTGGCATTTTGCCAAGTTCCGATCAATACGACCCTATCGCCATTTTCTTGTAGCGTTCTCTCTTTTCCTCATCTTCCATCTGCCAAGAACATGTCCAAACAGGTAGACATGTTCAAACATGCAAACATGTTAAAGCATGTAATCGCCGCGCGCGGTGACCCACTTCCCAGCGCGGCGACCTAGTTTCGGGCGCGGCGGTGAGGATGTTACGTAAATACACGAAGAGTAGCCGTGTAATTGCACACCGCAGGCGATTACCGTAATCCAAAAACTATTTCTATTCGCCCATGAAGCGCAACTATGGCACGATTAATTGGTCATTGACCAACATGAATTACCTTAGTCTAGAGGGGTTGTCATAATCGCTTCCGAGGATCATTTAATACTACTTTCGCTTTTGTATTACTGTCCTTTTCCCATCATTTGTCATAAAAACAGCGAGGTTTTTTTCCTGTTTTCATTCGATAGCCACGCATTGAACAAACTTTTTTGCAGGTCGCTTGACCAGGTGTTCCACTGGCACCGTGGGGCATCCCAATTGTGTTCATGGGTAGATGAAATTAGGTAACGGATGAAATGTATGCATGCGTCCTCGTGGACCAATGCCAATGCTTTCTGCTTGACCTTGGGGAGTTTTACACGAGTTTCATTCCACTTCATTTTGTATATTAAATTGAAATGGCATTCAAATTTTCCGGCACTACTTATCAGCGGCTTTATGGAATAAACTCATCACCTCGCGGCGGCTTCCTCATCCCATGCGGGTCTAACATGAGGTGCCGAAGCACTAGTACACCAGTAAAGAGATGGTTCACCCATAAAGGATGTCGCTTCTTCTCGTAGTGTCTCCCTAACTGCTCTGACACACCACACGAATCCGACTAAAGTCTCTACATGCGCTGGAATCGAAATAAGCATATGGAACCGTCTTTGGTAGCGCATGTGTGATCCTGTGTTCGAGCTTTGCGGCAACGTTTACTAGCGACCAGTAGCGTTTCCGTTTCCTGCGAGAGCCAGCGTCAGCAACTAGGAATGTATATATCGGTATAGATATCGACTGCGAACGCCGGTTCACCACCGTCCAGGAACGGTATGGGGAAATTAGAGGGTGGTACATAACTGGATAGGCATGAAATTGCGGCGTGTGCAATCGCACCGCCCGACTGCTTATCAGCTTGAAGGGGTACCGGCCTTCATCTGATGGTGTAGCGGTGTTGGATACTAGTAACAAGGAGATTTATATAATATTTATTGATTTCTTTATAAGCGGGATAATGGGGGACAGGTTGAAGGGGAGCAGCCAAGGCTGGCTGGTAGACGACAGCTGTTGCTGAGACTTAGTAAGACTAGACTGACTAACTGACTGACTACTACTGACTACTGGCTGCTTAAGTACTCCCAGCTATTGCATCATGCTGACTCTCGGAATCGTCTTGAGTGACATGTCTGGGCGTTGACCACGCCTACATCCTCCACCTCGGAGTTTCGGCAGCTATACGACGGATACGACATCTCCATTCCTTATAGCGAGCTCGTCCTCGAGCTTCCGAGCGTCATTCCATTGATCTTGAACAGGAACGTGCGGAGTGTTCCGGAACAATGATACTCGAAACACAATTCCAGCAAAATGGATGTAATATTGTCGGTGTGAGGATGAAGGAAGGCATTCATGATGTTAAGAGAGATTTATATGCATGGTACAGTAGGTGCATGGTGGTTCAAAGATAGTCATTGCGTAGTCATTTGTCTTATTATATCGTCTATCGTCTACTCACTCCTTTGAAAAAAAGAGCTCGTCCTCGAGCTCAGAGAGTAGGGGGGTTACATCGGATGGGTGTATGAAGGTATACAACGCATTCTATGTGAGAAGAAATACATCGAGAGTTAGAGTTATACAATGTTGAAGGCACGAAAAACATATTTTTTTGTATTTTTTCTATTTATGCTAAATATTCTGTTAGATGGACAATAGTAGTTATATGGTGATACGAATACTAGTCTATGTTGGTGCGACTAGTATACGGACATAGTAAAGGAATCTGTGATACGAATACTAGTCTGTGTTATTATTTTATAACACTTTAAGATCGACTAGTACAAGAGCGTATGTGAGGCATCATGTTTTTGATTTGTGACACAAACGCTGCCTTAAAATTCTTTGAACCGCTAATTCAAAGAATCATATTAATTCGCGACAGTGCGGCTAATGGGATGGAAACCAAACTTACGGAGGGCTACATATCATGTAAGCTTATAGCGGATGTTCTGCTGAAAGTGTATATTTTTCCTGAAGACGACGAGAACGTCGTACTGGTGGTTGTTCCCTGTCATACAATGTTTCCGTGGTGATGGGAGGGTGATTAATACTGGTCAGCCGTATGGACGGCGAGGATAAGTTTGAAGGGAGGCGACAAATTGATAGGTGCCAGGTGTATAACGCTCATCCGTTTGCCTTTGCGCCAGCCGCCTGGAATTGTATAAATGTCGGATTTGAAATTTATTACATGCAGGGATGGCGTACGCAGGGGGAAACGTCTTATATAAGCCTGATTGTTACAATGGTGGTCAGTAGGTGCAAGCGTCACCTTTCCTGCTCGGTCCGGCTCGGTCGTCTTATTTCTGGCTGTGCCATTGTGCTGCAGTTATTGGCTATTTTTACCCATATTTTATGATTGGAGTATAGTGAGTAGTTACGTGGGCGTGAGTATTACTTTGTTATTGGCGTAGTGATTATAGAGTATGCGTTTTCGAGCTGGCTGAATGCCCTGTTGCCGTAGAAAGGAGTATGGCTGGTTCATTTGCTCCTGTAGTAATGTACATGGGGAATCAAGTGAGTTGGTTCTAAGAGGGTGTGTGTTATTGTATAGTGAAAATTTATTTCTAGGTCCAGTGTTCCAATTGTATTGAGTGAGCAGCGGGAATGGAATAAGATTTGGTTGCTGTCGTGTGTATTTGAGAAATGGTATCTTGGCCAGTTATTTGGTTGTCTCTGTCATAATAACAATATCCTTACTTTTGCTTGAAGGATAATATGGATAACCATCAGCCTGGTAGTTTTGATGATTTTTACGAGAAGGCTCTGCGGTATTTGGCGGTGAGTTGCTTGGGTTCTTTAAAGAAGAACGCGAGTCGTCGTCCAGAGACAACGAACCCCAGCGTCAATTTCATGAATAATCCTGGTCGGACGTGAATAAACTTGTTGGAATAGTGGGAACACACACCGAAAGATAGGGTACACGATTTGGAAGATATTGATTGTCTCATTGCAATGGTTAGTTGGCGTAGGAGACGTAGTGAGGCCTACTGTTGGGGATTACGGTAGGTTGGTGCGACGCATTGATTCGTCGGTTTATGATTGGCTGCGCAAGAGGGTGAGTTGCGGGCAGCTGGCAGTTGTGAAGAGTGATCAGCTCTTATATTAGTTGACGTGTGGCGATCGGTCCTTTGCTTTAGGAAGAATATAGTATAAATATAAATTAATTGCTTAATTATAGGCTCAATAAAATCAGTGAGGTAGTCACCTCGTTATGGATACCTAAAAATGATTAGCGAGAGCACTTATGCTCGTAATTAATTGATAACAAATGGCATTCTACCATTATAGTCGAAATATATCGCATTGTCTATAATACTTAGGATACAAGTGGGTACACTGACCCTTAAGGCTCTTTGTTACATCATATTGAAAGAAAAAAATATCCCTGAAACATTATTTGGGTTCTACAAATGAAAAACCGTCGCCTGGACCTTATTATGTAAAAGAGATTAGCCTCAGATGAGGGAAGGAGCAAAGGTATTCTTGCTAAATTGAAAGAAAAACCCGTACAAGTAAGAGTGGTTCACTCTGGTGTGGGGGAATTTTCATTCCGAGTACTCTAATAGTGAGGAATTTTCATTCCAAGCCATGACTGTCCTTTTTTTATACATGTGAGAACTATAAAAAGGGTAAAATTACATTACTCACACGGAGTCGGCTGTAGAAGTCGTCGTCCTGGTGTCCTCGCTTCCGGATGTGCACTTCCTGGAGTCGAAGGGACGAGAAGTTGATTGGACGGGGGGGGGGGAAGGAGGGTATTTACCGGTAGTTACTTTGCAAAAGAAAAAAAATAATCTCCCTGGGACCTCCATATCAGATTGAAGGGGTACCGGCCTTCATCTGATGGTGTAGCGGTGTTGGATTTTAGTAACAAGGAGATTTATATAATATTTATTGATTTCTTTATAAGCGGGATAATGGGGGACAGGTTGAAGGGGAGCAGCCAAGGCTGGCTGGTAGACGACAGCTGTTGCTGAGACTTAGTAAGACTAGACTGACTAACTGACTGACTACTACTGACTACTGGCTGCTTAAGTACTCCCAGCTATTGCATCATGCTGACTCTCGGAATCGTCTTGAGTGACATGTCTGGGCGTTGACCACGCCTACATCCTCCACCTCGGAGTTTCGGCAGCTATACGACGGATACGACATGCTAAGGCACAGAATTAGCATTTATGTAAGAGTGGTGCAGTGTGCGGTACCGTAGCATGCACCACAATCTCACGATGCCTAGTCCAGCTATCTGCTACACCACTGCCATGCTCTCCA